GGTTGAGGGGCGGTTGGTTCCTGGGCCCGGGGGGGCAGTGAGGGGGCGCTGGGCCCGGGGCTCTCCCAGGCTTCAGGGCCAGAGAAGCGTGCAGAAGCCTCAAGGGACAGCGGTGACCCCGCAGCCAGGCTGCAGTGTTTCCCCAGCATAGAGCAGGATTCGTAAAAGTACCTACACCTCCGCTGCGTTTTTATGGTTGTTTCAGGAGGAGGGTACACTAACTTCTTTGTGTGTTTAAATCCTAGTTTAGCACTGTGTTTCTCCCTTGATTTCTGTCCAGTGCACATCAGTAAGAAGTAAGCCCAACAGCCTGCACTTCCGCATGTCGTGTCTTGCCTTGCCTGATCTTTGGCCACAAATTATGAAATGTACTCGCTGGCCTTGGGCAATAGAGGTTTCCAGATTTTCTTTATGTAAAGCTGCTGTAGGGATTGCACAGACAGGCAAAAGTCACTCCTCATAGAATTAAAGAGGACAAGACTTTGGTTCTAAAACTTCTGTCTGTTTAAACTCTGTTTTTTAAAGCCATTTCTGCTTCCTTTCCTAGCATTTGGCTTGCATGCTAGTGAAGAACAGGTTTACTAATGCATATTGTGTTGAGTAGAGATTGAAATCCAAAGCAGTGGGGATGTTGACCTCATTCTGATTTTGTTTATTTGTTTTTTTAGGAAATCAGTCATGATACCAAGAAATTCCGGTTTGGGCTGCCTTCATCAGATCATATATTAGGATTACCTGTAGGTAGGTACTGAAAACACTTCATTACATGTATTTTTGTTTTCAGGATTTTTAACTGTACTCATAGCTCTTGGACTTCTGACTGTTTGGGAATTTAATGCTTAGCAAAGCAAGGAGTTGAAAGCTGCATCTGAATGCTGCTATGTCAGAGAGAAATGTCAGATTTCCCAGCACATTTTGTTTCTGATCTTCTGTGTGTGCTTTGTTCTGCTTGTGTTAAATTGTGTGGTGTGGTTTAGATCAAGAACAGTGAAACTGAACTGAGTGATGAAATTCACCACCAGTCAGGATATAAGCAAGAATAGTATCTGTCAAAGCTTTTTCATATTTCTTACTTGCATTCTGCTTCCATCTGGGGCCCTCAGTTTATTGGCAATTTACCTCATGCTTCTGATGAACAGTCGTACTTGTAGATGAGAAAGAGAACAACTCTTCTGCCTGGGAAGCTTGTAACTGTTCCGTGCAGAACAAAGGGGAAAATACAACTATACTGTGTATACAAGATGCTGCAATATCCAGAGCATTTTCAGTGCATGCACTTGCCTTTGATTTACATACATATGTGTACAACTTTGTCTTAACTTTCCATAGCATTAATTTCAATTTAGACTAGGATTGGCACAGTTTCTTTCCTGCAAAACTGATGGCATTGAACCTTGGACCCTGAATTAATGGTAATCTGTGCAGGGGAAAGTCTCCCTTTCTGGTCTGCAGATGTAGCCACATGTTTGTGCTGCACTGTGTTTTGCAGTCTCCCTTGCTGTATGGCAAGTGTCAGGGCCTTTCCAGTTCCGTGTTCTAAACATGCCTTTCTTGCATGCTGCTCATCAAGGGCAGCAATCTTTCTTCAAATTCTCTTCTGGCTTGTATGGGAAAGTGTAATTGAGCTGTCCACATTAACTAGACAAATGATAAACAAATTGAGATGTGCCCTGCAATGCTTGTGTTTATCCAAATTTTATTCTTAAGAATTTAGGAATAAGATCCTGAAACTGCATGGGCCAGATTACTTCCTGGGAGATTCCTGCCTTCTGCTTTTTATCAGGATAATTTTGCTAAAAGTAAAGTTTTCTGCCAGCACTGTTGCTGCTTTTTATTTTTCGAAACAACTCTCTAGGTTAGTGCTGTCTGGCTGAGGAGACTACTCTTGGCAAGGAGTTTTAGTTCTTTTAGTCATCAGAAACTAGAGTCTGCCTATTGGAGCATTAGGTCAGGTAAAGAACGCTACAAATTTCCTACTTTCCTAGTGTCTTATCATTGATTCTGTAATGTACTGGCTTTCCTCAGTTACCCTGTGCTCCAGAAATTCTTGCTGAAAAGAGAAAAGAGACTAGATGTTTTATACAGCATTTACACAGTAAAGTTTTTCTCCATCGTTGCTTGTGTTTAATGTGTTACAATACCTACTTTTTTTCTCTTGTCTTTTCCTCCAGCCCTGAGACAAGTTTGAAACTGGGGATGAAAGAATAACCAGATTGTAATTCTTTCTCCCTAGGCCAACATGTTTATCTTTCTGCAAAAATTGATGGTAATCTGGTGATTCGAGCCTATACCCCAGTTTCCAGTGATGAGACAAAAGGTTATGTTGATTTAATTATAAAGGTAAATTTTTATTTCCTTTAATATAGATAAATTGCTAACTGGAAGGAAGGAAAGTACTTCATTTTAGTGAAATACAGAGTTTATTTTGATTGATCTTCTTTCAAATAGGATGACTGCATAGCGAGCAACTCATTTCACCTTATCCTTGAATAGTTAGTTGAATCCTGTGCATCTGCTGTGTGTCACTGAGAGATAGAAGTAGGGAAGATGGAGGAGGGAATCACTTCCTTGGCAGTACTGCAGGAACTTCCCTAGTACCTTATTTGCCAATGCACAAATAGCCATCATTCTCCCTCAAGCTGCCTATGCTGCTGCTAGTACTTATGGCCAATAGCTGTAAGTAGGAAACAAGGCAATAAGAACCATTATCTTTGGGTGACACTACAGGATTCCAATTATACGTCTGTAAGTGTCAGAAGTTGTGCTAATGTGTTTATTGATTAAGAAAATGGGATCCAGAAACTAGGGAAATCCTTTAAGCTAGAGAATGCAGGATAATTTGTTCCCAAGACTTCTAGATCCTTTTCTACAATAGAGTTTGTCCTTAGGTTAAAATCTGGGCTTTTTTTGTGTGCTCTGTTACAAGTATGGCGAATTGTTATTAATTACTTAATACTTATCATGTGCTTTGAAAGGGAAAAAAGCTGTCATGTGGCTAAAGTCTCTGAGAAAGTCTTAAAAAAGATGCAGCAATGCTATTTTCAGAAAGAGCAATTACAGAAATGAGGTAACATAAGGTTCTTGCTGGAGCCACAGTGAAATGAGGGCACCAGTACATAATCTGGCTTCCACCTATTGCTTCTAGCCTGCTGTTTGCAGAGAGCATAGGAACATGTGCATGAGAGAGCATTTTACTTACTTTGGCTGCTTCCTGTTGCAAGGCACAACAGATAACTGAGAGCAAAGAAATGTCTCAATTTCTTTCTCACATGCTAAATTTCAGACCTGCAATATTGTGTTCTACAGTTTGTAATATTGTCTGCAGGAAAGCTAGTGCTTAATATCATACAAATTACTGTTTTTACAGGTCTACCACAAAAATGTGAATCCCAAGTTTCCAGAAGGTGGGAAGATGTCCCAGTACCTAGATGGCATGAAGATCGGAGATATTATTGACTTCAGAGGGCCAAATGGGCTTCTTATCTATAAGGGAGCAGGTACTGTGACATGAAAGTGGGAGAGCAAAAGGGAGGAACTTTGTTATTTTCTGAGGTGTTTTATAAAACTTGACAACATTGTAGAGAATCCTTTTTTAAAAAAAAGTGGGAAAGAGAAGATCCACCTTTCCTGGTCTTGACCAAGAGCCCATCAGAGTTGATATGATGGGTAAGAGTACTTTGTGTTTATTTTGTGTGAGGAATAGCTGGTTGTTGTCTTAGTCCTGGGACCATATAATTAAATCTGTAAAAATCACTATCACATTATATTACTGAGAAAGCTGCACTGGAAATAGTACCTCAGCTATACATATGAAGAGAGATATTCCAGATGCTTCTTAAACAAGGGAGGTGGTGGCCTAAAATGCGCTCTGAGGATCTCAGCATTGTTGCTGAATAACCCACTGACTGAGAGCCAGCTCCATGTTATAATTAAACCAGGTCTGAGTTGACTGGGAGGAAATAAGTTCAGAGAAGTAATCCTCTTTCAAGATGCAAGTGAGATTTTGCATTGATCGTGACTGAGGGGGACTGTGCACTTAGGTCATACTTCAGGGGGCTAATTGCTCAGCACTTCTCTGGATCATGACCTTTTATGATGAGTAATACGCTGATGAATCCATTGTATCTCAGAGGAAACAAGTGATGCGTGTTTTACCAATGTTCCTTTCTGCTCTGCTTTGGCTGCCATAAAGAGCAGTAGCTAGGAAAGCTTGTTTCTAGTTGCAGATCTCTTAAAAGATGATTGGAATATGTCAAGTGCATTTCATATAAGATACTTTTCATGGTCTTTTCACTTGGCTTAGTCCTTGGAGATTAATTCCACTATAAACTGTCTGGTTTTGTGACAGTTCTGAAGCAATGGTGTATATATACCCAGGTGTAGAGCAGAAATCGCAGGGTCTTCTTATCACAGAGTTACTAGAAGGTAGTCACCTAGCTGACTGAATGAAAGTGTCATATGGATCTCATTGACTGGAAATAAAAATAATAAAGTGCTTGATGATAAAAGTATGCAAAGCTCCAACATTCCTGATTCTCATCTTTGCAGGGGTTTTTGCTTGATGCTGGTTTAATACAACTCAGTTGAATGTGGACACTCACAAAGGGCTAGATCTATGGTGCAAGTGAGGGTGATGAAGATGGCCTAAGATGGTTACCTTTAGCCACCACTAACATTCACAGTTGACAAGTTGTGTTCTAGGCAGTGACGTGGGAATCCTTGAGTTTATTATAAATTATGATGGGTAGTAGGGAAGGAGTAAATCAGTTATTCAAAGCTAGGATTGGAGTTTACAAGGAGGTTTCTACTCTTCTTGCTCAATGCTGTGCTGAGTCCATTTAGAATTTCCATAAGATTGGTCACAATTAATTGGTAGGCTGTAGTAATTTATTCTCATGGAGTTGCATCTGTCTTTGTTTAGGGTTAATGTACCTATACATTTTGAATATTTCTTCCAGGTACTTTCCTTATCAAGCCTCATAAGAAGGCTGAAGCAGAGAAAAAGTTTGCAAAGCATCTTGGGATGATAGCTGGAGGAACAGGTAAGACTGCTCTCATCAGATGGAATGTCTAGAGAATTAAGATGTCTTTGTGGATGCACGTGAGGAGTATCAAACACTGTACTTCAGTAGAAGAGCACTTCCACCTGTATTTCTTCTCATGCGTGTTTGGTGACACTAAAGCTTTCTGGTCAGCAACTTCAGTTTTAATCTTGATTTATTGTTTGACCTCAGGGGAGTCACTTCATCTCTCTGAGCTTCAGTTTCAACAAATTTTAGAGGGTAAAATCACATCACTTCATCTCTCTGAGCTTCAGTCTCAACAAATTTTAGAGGGTAAAATCACGTCACTTCATCTCTCTGAGCTTCAGTCTCAACTAATTTTAGAGGGTAAAATTACTGTATGTGACAGAGAATGCTGAAGAGAAAAGCCCCAGATAAAAGTATTGTGGTTTGGATTTTGTTTTGAAATGATTTGTAATAATGGAAAACCCCAACCTCTGCATTTGGCATGGATTAGAAATCCAGAGGCATGTAGCCCTGTGCTAACTAAGCTCCCACTGAAGACTGAAGGAAGGCAGTGTTAATATTGAACCTGCAGCCTTACATGAGTGGAAAGAATTACTAGTTTTTTAACTGCTTTGTTTTTTATCAGGAATAACTCCTATGTTGCAGCTGATCCGTCATATCACAAATGATCCTAAGGACTCCACAAAATGTTACCTTCTTTTTGCTAATCAGGTGAGTATATGGACCCATCTGTTTTCCATCTTTAATGGCCCACTTCTTTTGCTGACCTCTGAGCTTTTTAAACTGCTGGGACATTGATCCCTGGAGAAACTACTGCTCTGCCAGTGCCTTTGGATTTGTATTTTCACCCAACCATTTATGAGGAGCAGGAAATGGTTATTATGTAAATTCTTAATCTATTGTCTTGGGTTAAAATGATTTAAGAAAGAGAAACTGAACATTAAAAAAATTATCCATAAGTGCCTTTGTAAATAGTACATGGTGCTGTCATGGTTCACATGATCATCTTCTATTTGTTTTGAAGATGGCTCCTCCTACTTTCACTTACACTCCCTAATTCCTGTATTAGAGCTAAATCATGTGAACGGATCCTTATCCCTCTACTCATTTTACTCCTTTGCTGATTTCAAGGAAACAGGATTTTGTTCTGTTAATCTGTTTCTACATTTCACCTTCACCAGGCTAGTACAGGGCTGTATTTGCCAGGGTCAGAGATAAATCCAGCTAATGGTGATTTTAGCCTGGATTAAAAAGTTGTTCAAATTGCCATCTTTAAGACTGTTTGGGTGGCTATTAAGTCTCGTAGTTTGTTGTTCTTAATCTGAATTTACAGAAGCCTCTAATGATAACAGCCTATCATGTAAGGGAGCAGGGGGAAAATAACTTTCTTGGTTTGAATGAGTTATCATTGCATTTGTCTAGTTGAGCACCAGATGAGTTCACATAAGAGGGTATCTTGAGATGGTTTGGAGCTAAACAGCGGTCTCATTTTGCAGACAGAAAAAGATATATTGCTGAGAGCTGAGCTCGAAGATATTGCTAAGAGGCATCCTGATCAGTTGAAGCTTTGGTACACACTGGACAGACCTCCACAAGGTAGGCTACTGGTACACACTGGAAATGCCTTTGCTCCTTGCTGTACAACACTCAGTTTCACTCTTGTTCAAGGGGCTCTTAGTATATTATCAAGTCTTCTTGTCTTACACTTTTAAACAAGAAAGACACTCCCCAACCCCTCAGAAACAAGCTTTACTACACCACCACCTATTTTGAAAACTGATCTAAAGCAGGTGGGCCTTAGGAAGTGCGAACTAATTATTAACTCCTGTTGGGTCAGACATGCTACTCTGCAGATCTTTTGATGTATTTCAGGATGTACCAGTTTTTGGGACCTTTCATCCAAAGTTACAGCTCTGGTTTTGGCTATCTGTCTTCCAGCTCAGATTATGTTAGCATTTTGTTGGCGTTAAATTGCTTAATACCTGTAAATAGTACATGCAGATCTTTGTTTTGCAGCAGCTCTGGATGAGGTTCTGGTAAAAGAGAGCTACCATGTGTATAGATTAAGGCATTAAGTGTAGGCTGGTGTAGCACTGAATTAGAAATGGAGGGAGAAGTTGAACTCTACTGAATCTCTTTTGAAACCTGGGTATTCATGTTTGCTGATGTTGTAAGTGATCTGAGCTTTTATTGAACAGATGTAAGAGCCAAACTGAGATCAAAGTCCTGTACCTGTTGTCAGCAATAGCCATGAGTAGAGGACAGGAATCAGCAGGCCTTGATACTCTTCCAGACTTTCCTAATTCTCAGTTCTGAGCCGAATGTGTCTCTGCAGGAACAGTAACCCTCAGTGGAATACTTCTGTGTGAACTTACTGTGTCTCCTTTGGAGCCTGTGTGAGTTTAGTGGCAGTCTGCTAGTGGTCCCATAGGACTGGTGATTGTGTGAAGAATGACTTTTCTCTGGTTCGGATTTGCTTCTTAATTCTGGTGTTGGCAGAGAGTGTGACTAGGTGCCTACCAACTGTCTTCACATTGCTAGTTTTTCAGACATGCTGCCCCATCCCTTCTATCCTGAAGGTTGCTGGTGTTCCCCCATAGCAGTGATTGATTACTTACCTTTGCTCATCCTTGTTCTCTCAACCTTTTCCAGCTCTGCCGTGTCCCTTTTTGAGCTGAGCAGATCAGAATTGAACAGCAGTAGTCAAGATGCAGGCAAACTCTGGATTTTTAATTTGATGTGGGGTTCCCTTTTCCTTTCCTCATACTTCTTAACATTTCACATGCCTTTTCACTGCTGCTATTTTCATAACCCCAATATCCTGCTCCTGATAAATGATCTTAAAGCACATATTTTTATATTTGAAGGCAGGATTATTTTTCCTACTTGGCTCACTGTAAATGGCAGATGCATTCAACAGTACTGCTTGAAATAATTTAGCATTTATTTCCTCTTCTTAATTTTTTTTTTCTCTCATCACTTAACTACACATCAGAACTTTTGTCATTATCAAACTTCATCACCTCACCACTTGATTTCTTCTCCAGGTTGGTTTTATTTTTTTTAATGTGTCTGATGGCACTGGTCTCAATATCTCTCCCTGCACAACTGCTACTGCTTGACCTCTCCTTCACTGGCAAAGCTGATTTCCTGTTTATTCCTACCTGCTGTCTAATTTCTTTTAAATCTGTAATTTATTCACAGACTTTAATGTGTTATCAACCAGATCCTTGTTGTACACATGCTGCTTGTCCCTGTTGAAGAGGACCACTAGGTTTGAGCTCAGTGAGGGATTTAACCCTCCCTTGGCTTGCAGTGATGGTGCAATAGCCTTGCTGATTCTTCAGCTGCTTTGTGAGTACAACAGGCAGTTTAAAAAGGATTCAGACTGTACAGAGATTTAAATTGATAGTTTAATGTCTTTGTTTCAGATTGGAAGTACAGTTCTGGCTTCATCACTGCGGACATGATTAAAACCCACCTCCCTCCCCCTGGCAGCGAGACACTCGTTCTCATGTGTGGGCCACCACCTATGATTCAGTTTGCATGTCAGCCCAACCTGGACAAACTTGGCTATTCCAAGAGCAGTACATTTTCTTACTAATGCTGATGTCATCCAATACCTTTTTGTAAGTACTGCATATTTTCCTACAGGAACAATTAGTATGCAACTGTGTAGTAATTTTTTTGGTGTGGTTTTTAGCTGCTTATTGTAATTTCTGTGGTTTATAACTTCATAATTACTTTTGTATGTTTTAATACTAAGAAGTCGAGAGATCATCTTGAATTGTGTGGTTAGTATGAAATGTTAATTCTGAGGAAAAAAAATGTGTAATGGAGAGGTAGGACTGAGGTTAAACCATTTGTTTGTTAACATGGGTAAAGAATTTGGGAGAGGGCTATAAAAGTGGGCTAGGACTATTTTACTATAGGTGACTCAGTGCATCCCATGGAAGGAGAATAGTTTTTTTTGTTTGTTTGTTTGTTTGTTTTCTTTCCCTCCTGCTATTTTACAGCTCTTTACCAGGGACTAAGCAAGAAGTCACAGTATGCTATTGAAAAGTGGCTGGGTAACAAGTAAATTGCTTATTACTGTAACAGAAATTCCCTTAGTGTGAGATTTATTCAGGAGGATTGCATAACTTCAAGCTGTCAGAAGACAGCCTTAGCTAAACAATCACTGCCACCTGTATGTGGAAGCTCTGGGCTGCATATACAGACAACTATCCAGTGATGTTCCATCACTTGAATGCCATTCTCTTAAGTGTAGTGCTTGCTCTTTTGGCAGTTTCACACATTTCCTTTGCTTAAGAGAAAATATGGCTGCTTACTTCCTATTGCAAGCTATGCCCAGACAATCTTAAACTCAGGTAATGGCTCATCTCAGTGTTTTTACCACGTAGCATTTAATTCTTGGTCTGCAGTGCCTTGAAGTACTGCACGTTCATTTCCAGGAATTAGTTTACACAACATTTGTTCTAGGGTCTGACAAATCCCTGAGCCAGAGGACTTGTTTCTTAAGGTGCTACTGAATATGTTTACTAACTATTTTTATTCATCTAAAGCAAAACCAAAGGAAAGGAATCTACTAGCTAAAAATTGACATGGGGTTTTGTACTTCACCAGTTACATTTGTAGCAATAATGCAAAGAAAGAGGCAGAGATTCATACTGTTATTCTGTCCCTGATGAGAGATCAACCACTTCTAGTTGTGTTAGAATCATACCACAGTCAGCAAGAGGTAGAGGAACATTCAGAATTTATTTTTAACAGTCAAAAAAAAAAAAAGTATTTATGCCTATGTTATGCTAATTAGGATTTCTTCCTTTCTCTATATATATTTTTTCCTTTTTTTTAAATCAGTAACTTTGTAAATTGACTATTCACAGCCAAGTTAACAGAACACCACACTGAGTTATAAATACATCATCAAAAGAAATCTGAAAATCCGCTTGGAAAATCCCAGTGTATTAAGGCTGCCTCTGCTGGAGCAGCTTATCCTGTCTGTAGTGTTGTAATAAGTCTGCTGGCTAATTAACCTGACAAAGGTTATTTCAAATGGCTGTAGTATGTGATCTGGTCACTAGCGTTGGTTGCGTTGCCAAATTAGAGACGTACTTGACTGCTACGTTTAAACCTTCTCTTAAGCATTTTTAGTTTGCTGATGTGTAGACTGACTTCTCATTCCTTTGGTTTTTCTATTATCATTTCATTGTTCAGTGACTGAAAAAAAAAATTGCCTGGGTTTTATCATTTTGGACAAAAAAAAAAATCATATGTTTAACTTCTACCTGACCGTGTGGTGCAAGGTCTGTCAGGGAGTGAGGACTAGAGTAGGTCACCTTTAAAAAGTGCCACTGATAGCTCTTGAAGAGCCCTTGCCGCACACTCAGGACAGTACCTGAGATTTCCCCTGTGTTTGGAGGGCTGTGGCTGTGAGGGACCTGCCCTCAGGCTGTTATTAATCTGTAAACCAACACCCTGCAGCCAGCGAGGAGAAAGTAATGCAAACCATCCGTACACGTACTAAGTCTTTTTGTTACAATTGAGCAGATTTCTTTTCTGGCATTTCCCTGCTTACTAAGATATCCTGTGAATATCTTATTGATACATGAGAGGCATTCAGCATTGTCAGTGGATGCCACAATTGCTGCTGTAAAGGAGACACTTTCACCCTCAACCAGCCCCTCAAGTGAGTAGTGAGAGGCCGTATGTCCCTTTGTCACAGTGTTGCAGCCCTGCCTGGCTCAGTAGAATAACAGGTTTATTTTGTCAGGTGTTGTAAAGAAACAAAAATGTGTTTCATTATGATACTTGCCTGATGCTCCTTAGTCACATTTTACATGTCACAGAGCAGTGATGTTTGTCTCCTACTGCTAAATATTCTATGAAAATATATCTGTAGCTGGAATGAAGAGAGAACTGAAACTGAACAGCAATACTGTGTTCAACATCACCAGTTCTCATGCAAATATTACAAAACTGTTTCTACTGCAATCTCCAGTCCTCAGGGCTGTTTGCAGCCATATGTTTAATTAGGTGTAACTACAGAAAAAAAAAAGATAGGCTTATTGCCATGCCTGTTCTTTAGAGCCTCTACTATGTTTCACACCAACCAGGTCCAAGGCTCAGAAAACTTTGTCTGCACCATTTTGATGCTTGCACACGTGTCAGTACCACCCATTTTAGACAAAATGTCAGTGTACAGAAAGAGCCTATTCAATAGGTCTAGTTAAAGAACTGTCATTTAAAACCAAAAAATGAATCATGCTGGAAATCCTGATGCACTTACCCTACAGAGTGCAGTGAACACCATTCTTAACAGTAACATTAGTTAAGTGTTTTGATTGCTCCTTGATTGTGACCATCTTAGTACACAGGTAAAAATCACATCTTTTTTTTTTTTTTTTTTTAAATTACTTTAAATGAAGCACCAGCTTTTGAGGATCAGTTTTCCTGGCAGTCTCAAAGTTACATTTCCTGCTGCAGTTGCTCAGCATCTTTTAAAATTAGGTAAAGATTTGTGAACATGCCATGTTGATTGTCATCCTCCTGATGAAAGCAAGGGTTTGATAGATAGTATTATGTTCCATTCTTCCTATTCTACACTGCACTTACTTAGAGAAAAACAGGGCAGGACATGTGCTAATGAAAGGGATAAGAGATTCAAATCCTTTTTCAGTCTCTGGCAAGACTGCAGTAGTAGTTAGTGAGCCATTACTGCTGCACTTACCAGCATCCACCTGATGGATGGCTCCAGTTAGTCTATATGGCACTATAGAATATTAATGATTCCTGCATTACATGTTGATCATAAAAATAAAAAAAAAAATTACAAAAAGCTCTTTCATGTGACAGTAAATAAACATACCATGTAAAAGATGGCTGCATAAAAGGGTAAAACATGTTGCCGGTCTTGGCTTTCCAGACTCTGGCTGTGAGTACCACTTCTCTCTCAACACCTATTTCACATGATGACATACGGAAAACAGCACGGAGGAGAGTTACCTGTAACACGTTGCTACATTGACAATAGTAAATGCCATGTGGCAAAGTCTCATTGGCAGAAAAGAGGTAAAGCTTTTCTGCACCACAGCATCAAGCTTCTCCTGGCCACTCCTCTGGACAGGCGTGAGGTATTAGTGTTCTTGGTCATGTTGAGACATCATCTCCAGTCTTCAAAGGTAGGTGTTAAAAATCTGCTGTCATTCAGCATTTCATCTTGGCTTAATAGTGTCTGAAAAAAACAAGATGTGAATGAGGAATCATGTTTAGTTAGAGACCCACAGTTAAAGAAATTCAACTGTAATGAGATCAGATTCACAACAGAGGGGGTTAGAGCCACATAAAATTAAAAGGAATTTCTTAAATGCAGCTTTAGAGAAACATTATTTGCTTGAGAAAATTCTTGCAGATATTTTTTTGTGTGTCATGTGACTCAACTGTGTTGTGTAATTCTTCATTATACCTTTCAGTCAACTTTTTATAAATTAGCTGCTATGGAGTCAGGAATTAATACAGTGAATTTTTTTTCTGTTTGTTTTGTTTTCCATGAAAATGCTCATGCAACTTTTCCAGTCTGTACCTCTTTGCTAGACTTTGCTGTGACTGAGGCATTTGATGGTGGTTACTTGCAAAATCTTTGAAGGATTGTTTTCATTTAAGGGGATGAATATCCGTCACTGGGTCAAAGAGATAGCAGACATCATGAAAACGTAACATAGGCTTAAATGAAACTTAATTTCTAGTGCAATTTAAAAGCAGGGGTTTTTTTGGACTGTGAATGCACAACCAGACTATAAAGAGGTATTTAACAAGAATAGTGACCCACTTTCACCAAATTCTAGCAGAATACATTTGTGACTGTAAGAGTGAAATTAGTACGTACCGTGAGATGGCTTATGCCTTGAGAAAGAGCCCCTATTTGCATTACTGTTCCTTCTGAATGTTCCATCTGTAAAAGTATTCAGGAACTAGTTCAAATCAGACAGCATGTGCAATTTCATTCACTCTGCATGCATCTTTGGGAGGTATCTGTGCCTGGACAAATGACGTTGGGGTATGTTTAAAAGCTCTCATTTCTGCACATTAACAAAAAAAATGCCTCCATGCTATAAGGTATGTGAAAATGCATTTAACAATAGGAAGAGTGAGTCCTGATTAAGAAAGATTGATTCCATGACACTTGAGCTGTAATTCACACAAGAAAAGAAAAAGCTTAAGTGATATTGTCAGTAAAGAATACTGTTTTCCTGATGGTGTAACACTTATAATCCTGGTAGTTTTCTTCCACAGGCAGGCGGTAAGGAGTCCTTCATAATACAGTCTTACCTATCCTTATATATAAAGGTTATCAGTTCTAGGGCATTGCATGACCACGTGCTCAGAAGTCATCCTTAATTGAAAGACCATGCTTCTAGAGAAGAATACAGTATTTTTGTAACACTTGAGTAACTGCATAGTGGAAGCTGTTGGCTCAAAGTTACTGCAGCTCTTAACTGTGTAAGTGGACATGCATACTGAATTACAGTCGGGATTCCACATTGTCCCTGCCTGGGAACAGTACTTTTTTTGCTAAGGTGTGTACTGAAAAAGACAGTGGTTAGACAATGAACACAAATGAGATGTTAGATGCAGTAAACCATGCAAATGAAAAAATTACTTTTGCAGTTAGTCTTTGCAATTTTGTGACTGTTCTCTTATCAGGCTTAAGATGTTTTATCTCACTTAAGGTCACTGGACATAGGACAGTTTACCCCAGCTGCCTCTATCTGGCTCTTGTGTGTTGCCAAAGTTCACACAAGGCTCCAGGAGCTCCATTTTTCAGGGTTTACATCCCTTTACACAACAGCAAAGTTGAATACAATTTGATGAGTTTTAGTCTTCATCATTTGCCTGTATGATGTCTAGACACAGTCTCATTCACAAGTTCACTACTACATAACAAAAGTGAATTATTTAAGTATTGGTTTATTAATAATCTTGTTCATTACTGATGCACTGTTTTCACATATACTGTCTAAGCATAACTACTCCCCACTGTACATAATGAAAGAAAAATTCCATTGGATTCTTTGATTAATGTCTTAAAAACATACAATCCAGTTGTACTTTAATATATAACTTGATAGCTCTGTACAAATTAGTTCAAATAAATTTATTACATTAAAAACCACCCATAAAGATAATGAAAAAAGTAGTGTGCCATACTGAGATTATGAAAGCTAGAAGTATAAAAGTCTTGTGTTTACTGCAACCTCCACCTTAATTGTCAAAATACATTGATCTTCGTAGTGTAAAGGTGTTCTATTCCTGAAAAAGGGCTTGGAGATAGATGAGTTTATTATGATGTTGATTAAAAAAAATTAACCTGACATTCTTAGTATAGAACTCTTTCCAGTGTCCATAGCCAAAGCTTTCTCAAAGAGTTCATGCGGATGTAGCAAATAGTTGGTTATATGCTAACATGTGGTTATTTGTGAGCTTTGGAATGCATGGAGAGGATGAGATGAGAATGGCATCAGTCTGTCTGTCCCACCTGATCCAGTTCCTTATCAGTGACTGGACTAAGTCCTTTGTATCCACCATAGTTCTTCTGAGTACCGTTGGTAGCAGCTGGGTTTGTATCCATAGGACAGATGTAGTCTGTTGATTCATCAAATTTCTTTTTTCTTAAGTTTCCAAAATGTGAAAATCCAAGTTTCTTTGGCTAAAATAAGAAGATAAGTTTTAAATAAGAAAAATAAGGTTGTCATTTAAACATTAAAACACCTCTCCTTTTTGGTTTACTGTTACACCCTAGTCCTTGAAGTACATAAATTCTGAACTAAATAAATTTAATTGTTTTCAAATTGGGATTTAAAATTGATTTCCAATACATTTAGATAGTGTTCATTCTCAGAAAAGACAAAAGGGAGTGCATGCTTATTTCAGAAGCTGATTTAAACAGATAAAAATTAAATGCCTTGGTATCTAGAATTAAGGAAAACATAACACTCCCAGAACTGACCTCTCCCTGCCCATATTTGTCCCTTACTTTCTTTATAAGGCAGGGGAGAGGAAGTCTGAAATTCTGAACCATTTCCTTTTTGACAGCAGTACGTACCCGAACTTTGGCAGTGGTGGTCAGAGGTGTGTAAGCTGTTGACTCCGTTATTTCTCTTTTTTCTTGTTGTGTCTCTGGTCCAATTAACACATTAAAATTGGTTGTTAGGTGGCGTCGCAGCAGGGTCTTTTGAGGTGGAATATTCAGCAGCATTGCCAGTGTGTCACCATTGAAGCGAGGTTCGAGAATCTATTAAAAAAGGGCATAATATATATATATATATTTAATATGGTTAAATATTTGCGATAGTGAAGCATTACAGTGCTTATCAGAGGGATTTCTCATTCTTACGAAGCTAGCTGTCTACATCAGACCTTTCATAACTCACTTGTGATATGATGCTCACTAGGGTTTGAATGGGAGATAAATGAAAATAGGCACTAAGAAATGCAGAGCATAATCAGACAAATACCTAATTATATTTATCATCAAACCTTACATTTGTTTGGATTGAACTAATTTGTTTTCAGAATTTTCTGCTCTACTTTTACTGCTGTAACGGACAGTATAAACTTAATCTTAGCACATTTCTGTCTATTTCCTTTTTGCAAAATTTCTGCAGCACTGGGATCACACTGTTTCAGAACTCTGACTTTACTAAGCTGCAAAGAGCTCTCAATGTTTTGAATTAAAAAAATGTCATTCCTGATTGCTGGCAAGACTGCTGCAAGTTTAGGACAGGTATTTACTGTGGCTCAGGATTCTATTAAAACCTCTCAAAGAAACACTCAATGATGCCTTATCAGTAAGTGTCTTTCCCGTGGTACAGGTTTTGTGGGTTGTTTTTTGGGGTTTTTTTGGTTTTTTTTAATGTACTGCTGTTAAACACTCATGCACAGCTCAGCTTTAATTATAAAAAATGTTTTAGCAGTTCCTTTTTATTTTAGTTTTCCTTTGTAAAATTAAAACACTTGGCTCAGATAAAGAGGCTCTTTAGAAGGCCTGATCATGCTGTCATATTGAAAATACCAGTATTTTTTCCCTTCTGCTTGACAAACACCAGATAGAAGTTGTTTTATATTACAGGCTGTCAATTTTTAGTAGATATGTAGTAAAATGTTAAAAAGAATTCTTACAATCAGGCCACCGTGTACTCCGCTTCCTCGAAGGTTTGGTGCGTATTCTGCCAGATCGACTGATCGGAGCCATTCCATCACTCTGTGATTGGACCACTGAACTACTTCAGAAGGTGAAATGTTATTCTGTTAAAAAAACCAGAAAAGGTGATGACAATATCGCCTGCCTTGTCACTGCATGTTCACAATGTGTATCCTCAGTTCAGATAAAAACATCGTTCCTCCCCTGCCTCAAAGAGCAGTATTTTTTTCCCCTAATTCTAAGATACTGTTCCTGTTCAAAGCCTCTTTCACACACCCTCTGATGAGATGGCAGGCAGAGTCTAGTACAGGTGAAACCCCATATATTGCATCAAGTAGTATAACAATAGAGATTACAGATGCTGGGTTTAAAAAAGAGCATTTTGAGAACAGCATTATTGTCAGGCTTTAAGAGAATAAGCTATGCTGACCCTGACTAGGTAAGGCAAAAACCTTACAGTCTTTGAGAGTTAAAAATTAGGACAGACAAAGAAAACACATTCCAAATTATTCTCTCAGAAGTTGAATTAACTTCTTGAAACTAAGCAAATAATTTCTAAAGGGACATGCATGAGATTCAACTAATATGTGGCTCAAGCGCTTAAGGACGGAGGAGATTTTTATTGTCCGTGAGTACACGCTACATTCCAGAGCTGGAAAGCAGCATAACTGCTGCTTTAGACACAATTCCCTAGGAGCAGTGATTCTGTTGTATCATTGTACACTGCTAATTTTCTCTCCCCTTTGGCTGGAATCAGGTAATTACTGCTTGTTTAAATTAATTTACTAAAACATTCTTTTACCTCCTCAACTGGTCGTCTGCGTAGACAATGAGGGTTAAAACCGTTGACATGCAGCACATGAATGGCACATTTAATACTCAGATGATGCAGCTGACTGGTGACTTTCAGAAAGAGAAGGTCATTCTGTAAAGGAGAGAGCCTTTAAGCAGCACAGAATACAAACCAAAACAGGTCCTTTCCTCAAGAAGAGAGATTTTAAGCTTGCTATATAGTTTTATATAAACCACAGTAACTATAATTTAGGTAAAATAAAAGTTGGTATTTTAAAGAGGGTTTTTTAGGGTGAGTGTTTTGGGGGCTTTTGTTAGTTTTGTTTGTTGTTTGTTTGACTTAAACATTGCACCATAGCAAGATCTGGCTAAAAAATGAAGGAGAGCTTGATAACAGCTAAATGAGACTTTTTTTTTTTTTTTTTTTTTTTTTTTTAGCAAAACCAAATGCTTAATTATCCAGACCTGGGCAGGGAAGCTGTAAGAAAACACAGTGGCTATGCGTAGTGTGTGGTGTGCTGCTAATGTGGTTGGCACTGTACAAATTACCAGATCTGATGCTTGTCTGTAGTTTACTGAATGTTGTTGCTAACTTGCTGTGGAGAACAACAGAAGTTGCGTGCGAAATAGGTCATTTAACCTTTAATCGTGGTGTGCTGTATGGTACTGAAGGAGAGATTTTGCAGAAGTTAGCTATGGAACATAGCCTATTATTTCATGTACCTTAGGAATAGTAATCCTGCACTAGACAACACACATGAGTTACTACTGGCGCTGTTTCTGTTGTGCAAAAAATTCTTTAACTGCTCACATTCAAAGGAAAATTCTAAAATTCTTTGCTTGTTCTGAAGTTAAGTTTGGTTAAACAGAGGAAAAAGTTTTAGCTTACCACAGTCAAGTATTGCAACATTCTCCCATCAACTCGGGATTCATGAAACTGGTCTTTGTACTGAGGTAAACCAATATCATCAAGCCATCCTGCAGATACAAGAACAGTGCTGTACCCAAATCCACATCAGTGAGAAGGAAGCCCTTCTCCCCTTCTTGTCTGGGCTGGCTGCTTCCGAGACACTCAGGTAGCTTGTTCCACCTATTCACCTTTCCAAAGGACAGCCTCTTACCAGAACCCTAACAGCACTTCCTACCACACAGCTTTGTCCACTCTACCCCTGCAGTACTTTGCACACAGTGTGTGACTGAGCACATACCTTCTGCAGCATAACGTAGCTCTTGCTAGACTGAGCCCCCTGCAATCTGAATGACAGAGTTCCATACTGTATAGCTGTGTATTTGGATGTCGAGAACAACACAAAAATCCTCATCCTATGGAAAACTTTATTGTGCTGAAACTTAGTGCTCTTAAAAAGATGTCTGGTAACTGCTTAAATACACATATCAGGCAGCCCGTCAACAACCAATTCCACAGCAGTTCACTTACGTGTCACCCAGATATGATCGAGTTGTGCAGACTTCTCATCTTGTTTTGCATTTATTGATTTAATGGCCAAAACTAATTTCTTCCTGTGCAGTGGATGCTTTATTCCCATTTCCTGCAACAGTAACCGTTAACAAATAGTTTGTTTTGCCTCTGGCTCTTTTCATCGCATCAGTATCTACAAAAATGGATACTACCTATTTCAGAAAGGTTAGACCTGCCAGTTGTTTGAAGGGGCCTGGTTATACAGGCTCAGCATGAATGGTTTGAGAGAAACAGTTACAGATTATTACCTTTTCCATGTCCTGAGGTGTTGCAGTTAACAGCGTATGGCCTGAAGTCACCCACTGCCGTGCAAAAATGATGTACTGACCGAGACCAAAGTCCTCCAGCCAGTTACAAACTCTTTCAGTGCTCCACTGAGCAAACGGAGCATTGTAGTCACTGAAAAGTACAAGAAATGTTTGAAAAATCTTAAGGAAAGAATTATGGTTATTATGAGAAAGTTCATTGTGTGCCAGAGGCAATGCTACAGCGTGTGAATTAGCTTTGTTCTGTGCAGTAACAGAAGCCAACAGCCACTCTCACAGTTTCTGCTGTGGTACCAGTGTCCTGGTAATTTGGTTTCCCAGCCTCAACTTATGAACAGATAGGGAAGAGGGCAGGGGAGCAAATGAGAATTTCTCATTTTCTATTTGAAAAAGAGGAAAAGGAATTGTTGAATCCCCATCACTTTGCAGATACTCCCACAGGAGATGATGATGAGCTTTCTTCTTTAACCAGGTTAAATTTTTGACACTCAGCAGAGTTAGTGCTGCAGCCTGCAGTTTAAGGAGTGCAGGCAGGTGAGCTACTTGGGATACATTTTCTACCAGAGAAATTCTTTCCAGTTGTTGTGGAATTCCACATGTAAGGTATTTCTCAAGAGGAGGGTCTGGCTGTTCAGCACATTTAACGATACTGCATAATATGCTGTGCAAGGTAAAGAAGGAACCGTTACCTTTTCTGGCCTTTGGTTTCCTTTGATCTGGATAACCGAGGTCCAGCTGTTGCACGGAGACCTCCTCTTCGAAACTCTGCCAAACCCAGGTCGTCTGCAGGGAAGTTACCTGACTGAGTTCTTCTTATTCTTTCAAGACAAGAGTGCCAAGACAGTACTATTAGCTTGCAACAGAGAACATTTGTTTTCATATGGAAACTATAATGACAACTAGAAGCTGCATTAATCTCCCTGTAAACCACAAACTTCTAATTCAAGTGGTAGCTGAAGAAGTTCCAGGAAAGCACTGTCTAGACCAAACTCTGAGGAAAGAACAAAGCTCTGCAGAGCAGGCGTAACCTTGAGCCCCAGCAGTAATCCACACTGGAGGCCAGACCCATAAATAAATGTCTGCTGTCCTGAAGCAGATAAAGCAAACACAATAACACTCAGTCCCCCTGCTTTTTGTTTTCTCTCCTTTTTTTACCTGATGGCTTCTGTAATTAACAACTTGATATCACTGACTTTTTCATAGCTAATGAAACTGTTGGCATTCTAAAGTATTAGCATTATAGTAAGACAGCAGAGTGTATTATTTCTTCCAACAGCACGGTGCTGTGAACACTACCAGCCATTTTTCTACACCCATACAATCACAGAGCTGCCTTCTCTTCTTTTCCTGAATTTTACTTTATTCTTGCTGTAGATACTGGAGCTTTTGCTGAGAACTGGATTTATTCTTGGCCAAAATGCTTTGACAGGGAACTAAATAACAAAAATCATCTTACTTTCCCCAGATTTTCTTGATCCCTTTTGGACTCTTTCTGTTTTCTGGAGACAATGGAGATTGTGGACCTGAATCCGTTCCCGAAGAAAGAGGTGAAAGGTCATCTGAGACTACTGTACCATCCACATTCTCTGTTTCTCCTGGGTTAAGAACAGTAACAGATACATTTTATACTAATTATTAATGAAGTCGTTATCTGGGAGGCCAATGTTTAAATGCAGAACATAACAAAAAGTTAAAGATATCTATAAAATTGTTCTTGTATAATAAAACAGACATGCTCAGAAGGTGAAAAAAGTTGTACCTGTGCCTTTGATACAAAAAAGAAAATAATAAAATATTCCATAAAAATAACATTGTTATTTCAGTCATTTGTATTTAAATACATTATTTTAATTAATTAAAGGTCTTCAGAGTAAAGCAGACTCTTCAGCCTCTTGCCTTGCCTGTTCTTAATACCAAAACTCCTCCACCAAAAATCAGTGGGAATTTTTCTGTTGACTTCAGTGAAAAAAGAATTAAACAAGGAATAAGTATCTGGGAAAAAAATCTAATCCAAATGCCATACAGCAAAAGCTGTTACCTCACTTCGGTCCTGCACTTAAGGAATTCAATCTGGATTGCTCACTTAGTATTTCATAGAGAAGAGAAAAAGAGGGGAAAAAAGAAAGGAAAAAAATAAGCAGCAAAATTCCCGTTGAAGTCTCATCGTGTTTGGGTACAGTACCTAGCACTGGTGCACTGACACTCCTGACGCGATCTTCAGTCATCCCAAGAAGCAGAAAGCCAGATGAAGAAGCAAAGAAGATATAAAACACCAGCAAAATAAAGTTACAGAAGAGCAAAGAAGTAAGCTAAGCATTGAAAGCAGAAACACAAAGAAAAGAAGCAGTTATGCTTGACATGAAAGTCAATATATTGGTGTGCACAAGCCCCAGGAATCCTCATCTTAAATAGGTAGGGATGATCATTCATCTGTTGTAGGTTTTTTCCAACTATTCTTAGAGACTTTTAACACATTAAGCACCGACTACAGAGCTTCATCAAGCCTGCAGAACATCTGAAATGAAGCAATGTCTAAGATTACATCAAATGCTTCTGAAATACAGAATTGGAGGTGTAATGAGTTTACTGCACATGCATGAAACAAACCAATCTGCATAAATTATGTTAATTCTGTGTATTTAAGGAGTCATTGCTTGTTTCTAGAAAACCATATAACAGCATAGCTCATGCACTGCCTACAATGTTGCAATCACAGAAAAACTCTAAAAAAAACCCCTCAGCAACTCACAACCTCTTGAAATCTTGAAACTACAGCACCCTACCAGGTTTTAGGACCATGAGGCCTTAAAACAAACAAATTAAAACACTACCACAAAAAATCCCCAACTAAACAAAAAAAACCCCAAACCACCACAACTTTTAAAGCGTAGACATACTTCAGAATCACAAGGGACACACTGGAGTCTGAGCTCCTCAAGCTCTTCAGTCCTTAGCAAATACCTGGCTCTGTGCCTCACTGTTAATGCTTTTTGTCAATAAATCTATGCTTAAGATGTCACTGAAAATAAATTAATGTAGGCTTCCACACGTGGCTATGGTTGTGGAATAACAATATATAGAACAGTACAGTTTTTCTAGCACTGACATGCTAGTTACATCGTAGTTTCACACACTAAAATGCAGTGGGATGGGGGGATAGTTTCAAGGGATGGGTTGGTTTGTTGTAATACACCCATCTAGTGTACATTTTTTTAAAGTATTGATTATATTCTTGGCTGTGCAATTTTGTGAGCAAGCTCAGGGGAACAGTGGAAGCATTGCCTGGAAAAAATACTGCTTATTCATATTGTCAACACATCTGCATCTTTAAAAGTTCCACATTTTAATTATAGATTTGTTGACTTTCAGAATGCTCTCCCCACAGTCTTCAAAACAGCGTCTCTCTATTACTTATGCTGTTAATGATGTCAGCAGATTATATCATCAAGTGCAACAGAAAAGAATGCTCTACCTTAAAGCCATTAACTCCAGTGAGCTGATGTGGAGCATTTTTGGTACATTGTTAAAAAAAGAACTTTCCCTTCCTGAATGATGTGAATGTCATGGCCCATTGTACTGGCCTAGCAGGTGATATACCCCGTTATGTCCCAACCCCTCGAGCAGTTTGCTTTTTTCCCTTGTACATAACCCTCTGAGGGAGGCACGGATACGTACTCAGGCCCAGGATGCTGCTGTCCTCAGTGTCGTTCGTGCCACACCCGTCTGGTGAATTATATGTTCCCTGCTCTCCGTTCTGTAAGGGTCGGGGCAGCTTTCCTGGCAAGGTTTGATACTTGCTGCCTTTCACAAGTGGCTTACTCTGTTGTTTGTTGGGTTTTTTTAAGAGGGAAAAAGAAATTAAATAAATGAAAATTCAAATCACTCATAGCATTTGCAATCCAGTACACAATATTTTAAAAGTTGAGAAAAATTATATTGAAGTTTGTGGTTCAAAATGATGCCACACCCTCCACGTTCCTTCTTACAGATAATTCAATTTAAATCCAATAGTCAGCTGACAAAAGTTTTCTAGCTAAGACACAGCCTTCTCTTCTCTCATATGTCCCTTCCACTTCAGTCAGGCTGTGTTTTACATTAAAAGATCATATACGTTAAATATTACCTAGTTTTGTCATAAGGATTTTTCTAGCTGTCTCCCTTTCCTCTAGGACCCTGCCACTATGTAATAATTTGTTCATGCCAAGGTCAACTTTGATAGTACCAGAAATGCATTTAATTACTTCTTTGCTCTGTTTTTCCCCCTGCATTTCACCAAAGTGTCTGTTTCTGCCTCACAATTGTATCTCATGGGAATTTAAGCCAAAAGTATTTGTATAACTCAAACTTAGTTAAACATATTTGCCCACCACCATTAATAACAGTAAAAGAGTCAACAATGAAGTCAGGTTACAGAAATTTCACTTTTGTAAGAATTAAGATCTCATTGTATATATAGATAACACTAAAAATGGGAGGGTTTAAAAAAAATCATTATATCTAAATACATAGTTGCCAAGTACACAGCTAAATATATAACTGTCAATTCTATTCTAGAACCTAAGCACAAGGTATGCTTTTGACATCTACTGGGGGGAAAAAGCATGGACTGAGCTGTATTCTAGGGCGAGTCTGAATGGCTGGTGACTACAATTTCTGTCCATGTCAGGCTAACACAGTCTAACGTACGCGTGGCTGCAGCTATGGTACGTGTACACAGCAGCACTAGAGAGGTGGTCCTTCAGCTTCTAACCTCACATAAAAGATTAAAAAAATATATGTATATATTTCCCCCTCAAATCCTTACCCCTGTTCTCAAAGTTTTTCAGTGCTTGAAATATGCAAACATTTTAAAAAGAAAATTAATCTAAAATGCAAACACAGCCATACTATCACAGCACATCACAACAGATACATGTGAAGAGAGTTTACAGTTAATATACCTCTTGTTCTACAACAGGCTGTACTGGTTTTCCGTCTACATACTATGGAGTTGCAGGGAGGGTAATTTCAAAGTTTTATGGAAAAAAGCAACAGACAAATGTTAGTATTAACATACATACACAGAACATCAGTTGTAGTCTTATTGCTATAGTGATGCTACTTAATGCAGTGACAATACATTACAAGGTCTGTTATCCCTTCATTTCATTTCAGTAAAATTTTTAATACTAAATGCATTTGTTCAAATCACTCTACAAAATTCAGGCCCTGTTTAGGTTCTGTTGTAATTGCAATTTTTCTATTTTTAGGCTTCTGGGTGGTCCCTGTAGAAGTTTGTACTTTAAGCTGGGTACCCAATAGTTCTTTAACAGTGAAAACAAGATGAAAATGGCTGATATAAAAAGAGAACATACACACATGATACCGTATGCATCCAGATGAAACCATAAAGAAGAGCTGTGACAGAAATGAAGTGGCAAAAATATCAGCATGGCCAGGTCAGAGACACCAATGTGTTTTATTCTATTTTATTATTGTTATTGCTGGATGTAACTGGAATTTGATTTTGTGCAAAGAACAGCTCCAGTAAACAGCGCTGCTAGCACAGCTTCTCTTGGGCTTAATGCAAGAAGCAAACTCTTGTCGTGCTCAGTCAGCAAAACAAATTTTCTTGGCCTTAGTTTTAGTTGTAACTAATTCACATTTAGCTGCTCACTCATACGCACAGGGAGGTCTCATTTATTTCACTAAACAACCTTGGCCTAAATTAGGGCATACGATTTAAATGCCTTGCTGAACACAGGGCTGACTTGCTACAATTTCTCATATCCTTGGTAGTTTCTTGTTTCTCTGACTTAACAGAGCAGAGCAGATTTACAACCTAACGTGTAGGTACAGCCTTATCACATCATATCACAGAGAAAAAATAAGTTTTTTATTTAATTTAAGACAGGAAAATAATGTTAAAATTATTTAACAGACAGAAAAGAAAACAGACCTTAATAAATTCTACATGGCATGAAATGTTAGTTCTGAACTGATTTGTCACATGTATGACCACAATCAACTGAGTGCAACACAGAACTCAAACATTCTATTTGGTTACTGTTATCTTCGGAGATTTAAGAAAAATTTAAGAACTGGAACACGCATATTGCTAGCATCCATTTTAAATGGCATTACTGGCTGTGGGTAATCTAGTATTTATCCTAATTTGAGTACAGAAAGTGTCAATACCAGTCTCACAAAGCACAATTAAGTGCAGAAAAATTTCAGTGTACATAATGACAAAACAAGCCTCTGGACCATCATGGAATGAGACTTTGTAAACTGGAAAGTCTTTATTCTGGAATGGAATGAAGCCTTTGAGTTAATAATGGTGCTCCTGCTGTTTTAAGTAAGGCAGCATCACTACCATCCTCAGGAATGCCATTTATATCAGAAGTCTAAGTTAGGGAGTGACACTCATGTTTACATGCAAACACTCAAAGAGCAATCCTATGTGGAAATACTCAGTCCCAATATTTAATTGTTTTCAGGATCTGCTGCCTTAAAATTTTTAGTAATTTGGAAGTCAAAATTATTTTAAAAACACTTACCTATAAACAAAATAATACTGTAGTTCAACAAAATCCCTCTCATTAACATTATTTTTTGTATTTCTCTCAAATATTTTTCTTCTCTTTCAGCTGAAAAGCTGAATTTGAGGATGTATACGTATGGGTGTGTCAAGCAGTTTGTTAGACTGTTCTAAGCTTGGCAATGGGGTAAAAAAAGAACCTGAACTGTTTTATCATCGGGGCTTTTTTCCCCACATACAATGTTAGTGGTAGTTAGGGTTACTACATGTGAAACAGAAAGTGTATCTGTACTTGACCTTCATCTTTTAGTCATGATATTAAACACCAGAAATAGTGATTACAAATAAACGTACCTTCTCCAGGGATTCACTCTGCAAGTCTTCTAAACTACTTGACTTTTTTTTCTGTGGAACTCTTAAAATAATGACAGACAAAAACCCCACCAATTACTACAAGATAGTATGTTTGCATATGTCACAACAGTATCATACGACAGCTGTTTATATCACATAATGTCTGCATATAACAGATAATTCAGAATTAGGAGATTAAATTTCTTCTGTTATATTTTTAGCCTAAAACTCATAGTATTTGGAACTGCAACAGATGAAGTCGGAAACAACAAGACATCCTTTGATCAACAGTGAAAGGCAAAAAAGTGCAACGTGCATCTTTAAACCTTGTATCTATAGATGACTTTTTAGACGCTCTTAACAAGCAAAAGTAGACAGTAATAACTCTCTGTGGACAGTGTGCAATATTAAGGGCCCTTAAAAAGATTTTTTAAATGGAAAAAGGCAGAATTATATTAAAAAAATCTGGTTCTATGTTTTACACTTCAGTTAAAGTTACTCATTCTTACCTATTTATGATTTCCAAAGATTCTTCTTGTGGAGAGGTTAAATTAGTTGAAGATACTGGAATGCTTCCACTTTAAATCAGAATAAAATACACTGTTTTAAGTACTACAATACATATATCTTCTAATAGATAAAACTGCTATTTTTTTCCCTGTAATTCAAACTTTATACAACTAAGTATTGTAAACTCCCATGGCAAACACTGATTTCATAACTACCCCAAAATTCTTGCAAAGCCAAGATCAGGCAAGACAAGATACCAACAGTTAAACAGATTCAATAATACAGACTTAGGACAATCCACATGAAAAACTCAAGAAACAAGAGTCTTGCCTGATTTCCATAGCTTTGTGCGGCACTGGAGACACCACAGCTGGTGACAATTCTCCTGAAGAGGCCTATGGAAAATATAAGAGTTTCAAGCCTGTAACTCTAGTGCCCGATTCTGAATCTATAGTGCCCATACCAAGAGGCACAAAAATTCAGCCAGGGACAAACCCTCATCTATGAGAGAAACCAATACAAACAAATCATATATACAGTAGAACTTGCTTCTAATACATCTTTACTAAGTACCTCTGTTTTAAATAATTCTCCTTGAGGATTATTCAAAAGATTCCACTTCCTTAAAGTTGGCTCAAGTTCCTCTTCACTGCCACCAGAGATGGAAGAGCCTGCAAGCATTAAAGATTAGAAGTAGAAAGGGAGAGAAACAGGCCAGAAAAATAACATTGAAGACCATATCAGACAGTCTAAATACTTCAGTCTCTAAATTCCCTTCAGTCTTCATCTGACGCGTGTAGTTTACCAGCCTTTGCACTCCCACCGCTCATTCGGGCTCTGCCTTACAAAAAGCTGATTTATATTAGAGCAACAAATTTACCACTTCTAGTTACATGCTGTGCTCTGTTGCGAGTAGCTGAGGTGCTATGAGGCAGCTTCTGAACAACTCTAACTCATAGTTTGATGTTCTGAGACAGGTTCAAGTGGGTACCATTTTCTTACAGTGTATCTTTATAGGCAGCATGCATGTTTGACATCATCAGTATCATAATGCAGTGCCCCACGCTCAGTTCAAGGATGAACATGGTAAACACGCTCCAAGTTTTTCTGGATATCCCAGATGTAAACAAATACTGAAATACTCTAAATTCGTTATTTAGTAGGATTTTTATTCCTAAATTGTCAAAGCTGCAATACTAAATCAAGGTCTGAATATTTAGTGCTCAGCAAGTTTCCGGTGTATTTTGGATAAGAAATTTTTTCTGCAGTTCTCCTGTGCACAGGGTTGCATACAGGATGTGGAAGGGCTGCTATGCCATGATGGAGAAATTTAGACTGACCTTTAAGCACATTAATAGTTCCTAATCTATGTGACAGAGGTGCAGCAGCTCCAGGCAGTTATGAAAAAACACTAAATCTTATGGTCAAGCCTTGGCACTATTAAAAGAGAGATCACTTGAAAACTCATCAGACGTGAGCTTGGTTATCATGCTGTTCAGCTACAACAACTGATGCTGAGCCATGGCCCTTCAGGATATGAAGTGAAACTTATGCTGTGGTTAAGAAATGCTCACAATATATTGTGTTTCTGTCCAGTAATTATTTGAAACAGTTATCAGAGACAGAAGATTTCAACCCATTGATTCTACCAAAAGCTTTTAAGTAGAGATTACACTTGAAAGGGAACATTTAAAACCCAGCTCTAGAAACAAACAAACAAAAAAAAAAATCAAGGAAGATGTTTCTTAGCAACCTAAACATGAGACTGCCACAAACACACATAAGGTAACAAGCTCATTTGGGCTGTGCTAATATTGTAGCCATCACAGTATGTACCTCAGCGTGGACAATCTCACTCTAGTTCCTACACAGGTTTTGTTTTTGTTTTATTATGCTGAGCATCACTGGTTTTCTATTTACACTGCACTGAACGTCTGTACATTAACACCACCATACTCCCTGCAGCACCAGCTCGATAAGCCAGAGCATCGTGGCTTGCTCCCTGCTCATGCACACAAGCGTCCTCCAAAAACCACATCCCACGGGGGGATGGATCACTCAAATATGTGCAACAAGGGTGTGGCCAAGGAGAGTGGAACTGCAGGGGCTGCTGCTGAGGGCACCTACTCACAGGGTAACAGCGGTGTAGCTATCTCGGGAGTTACCATCAGTATGTCTCCAGAAGCTACAGTCACACCTTTGGATTTCCTTTCAGAACACTTTCAAGTGAGAGACTTTTTTTTTTTAAATGAACATTCAGAGAGATATTTACCTGACTCTTGTTCCCTATTCTTGTGTGTTAAATACAAGTTTCCATTCTGCCGTACAAGACCTGAAAATAATGTGTTTGTTAATGTGATGATGTACGTTAAACAAAACTGTCCCTTCAGAACATCACGTTTCCCAGGCTACATTTAGTACTGAAAACTAAGGTGGCAACTTAAAATGAAATTATCCTAAAACCTACTCCACTTCCTGCAGCGTAATTTATAAATGGAACAAAGTTTTTTCCCCAGATTTTGAAGTTAAATATATAATATTGTGTGCACCAAAGTAACCGTGGGTTTTCAGCTGTTCCCTCCAAACTAGAACTTGCCTGGTCAGCTGTCAGGATTTTTCTGAGTGGAAGGGAAGGGCAACAGAACTTCTTATATTCATTGCAACTCCTTTTGGCAAAAAAGAAAAATGTTCTCCTAACGGTATCAAACTGCACCTGAGATCAGCTTCCCTTTTATGAATGGCACATTAAAAACATGACATAAAAGGAAACATTCTGTCACTGGCGCTAGCTGATCAGTACTGCCATTCCTGAATTGAACTGTGGTGAACGTAGGATGTAATTAATTAATTAATTAATGCTCCTCATCTGCTAAGGTCTCCTGATATCATTTTACACATTTTACATTTTAAAAATCAGTTACTCATAACATAATGGTCACAGGAATCACCATACAAACTTAATAACTATCTATACACTTTATTAATCTCCTACAGATGAATTAATTTAAATCAAACTCAATGTCATTTTAATTTGGAATAATAGATTCTTGAGAGGGATATAATGCAATTTAATGAGAATACTGTAAACTCATGCCTTTAGCTAACTGACCCCGTGTTACAGATTCTGTCTGCATGAATGTCCTGCCGTTTGCTCCCTTCTTTTTGACCCTTTTTGCTATAATTCCTTTGGTCTGGCCTCTACAACCCATGTCCAACTGAGGGATGGCAACCAGCAGCAGTGAAAAGGGAAGTATGAAGCTTTGACCATGAAGGACACATGTCATAGGCCTGCACCATGGAAGACACTTACAGAAGTCCCATCAGTGAGGAGGGACAGGGCTGCATGAAGTAGCGAATGAAACCATGGCCCCAGCTGTCCGCCCAGCCATCGCTACACGCACGTAGGAGTTGTGCAACAACTCCTGCTCCACTGCAGTATGCAGCAAAGTGTTTTAAGGAGAACAGTTGTTGACTTCAGATTGACTTGGCACATAAGGAGCTCAACTGCAGTGCTGCAGACCCAACTGATGAGCAGTTCACACAGCTGTGCAACCAGAGAAGTAACCTCATCAGTCATCCTTCCTTATCAATCAGTATCCTTAATGACACTATCTAAAACAACATCTAGCACCAAAATCGGGCCCCAAGGAGGGATTTGTTATTAACTGCTGTAGAACAGATTTTAGGTTATGACTTACGCAGATGAGCTAAGATTCAGTCACAGAAGTCTTGCTGAATAGCAGTGTTGTAAGTACATCTCCAGACAGATTTAACCCTATTTTTTGTACTGACTACAGCCAAGGAAACAAAAAGGAAATCTCCACAAACTACAGGCAATAGCACGTAATAATCCTGCTCAACACATACTGTGGTTCTCTCTGTATCTGAAAGATTGTATACTTGCCCTCATAGCACTCTAACATGATACAAATATATGCATAATGAAATATATATTACTATACAAATATATTTAAAAGGAAAACAAATAGTAGTTGTAGTGCATGCAGTTTTTAAAAGACTTGATATCAGGAAATTTTTCCCAAGACATTTTACCGTGAGCTGCAATCATTATCTCTTTGACCTTTCTGTACTGGCTTAGCAATAGTGTTAACTCCTCTATTCGACGGTCCTGTGAAAAGCAATAAATGAAATAATATTTAAAATCCTGCATTTTTAACCTGCAGAAACACTGTATTACATATTCATTTCAGTGATTTTGGCCTGCTTTTCCAGAAAGCAGGATCAAGTCCTGCTCATGTGCCTTGTAAAGAACATTTCTTGGCTTTTATTTGCCATCATACATAACACCTGCTGGACCATGTGAAATTATGGATGTAAGGAAACCAGAGGAGTTTGACATTACTAGTAAAGCAGATATTTACAGAAGCATAATTTGGAAAATTGCTTTCACATCTAATAGTCAAGGGAATATTCTGGAGTTGAACCTCAATTGCCTGAGGTGGGCAGTGGTTTTTTTTTTTGCTAGCATCTTACCTGCAATCATAAAGTAAATGACATTAATGTTTTGTCTAGTTTAACAATCTGGTGATGTTCCTTAATCCTCTCTTGTAGGGTATGTTCTGCATTCCCACATCTACACTTACTCCAGTTTTGAACACACCTTTTTGAACTTAGGCAAACGGGTACAGAACCCAAGAAATGAGGCCTCATGAGTGCCCGATGTGTTGCCCAGCTCCACTCTTCCCCCAATATATAATATTTTCCCATTATGTACAGAAAGCATCTTGATTCATGTATTCAGGGAGTGACTTGCCTTTTGCACAGACACAACATAGCAATGGGTAGTAATCATTATTTAACTGATTACATCTGTTGTTTCTCTCATTTCCATATATGATACTGTCCCCCAATGGTAATACATTATTGCTACCAGTCACTGAGTGCGCGATCTTGCACTTTGCACTCTTACAGTTTGTCCTGTTTCTTTGACCCCGCTTCTAAACAATTCCTATGCAATAATCTTGCCCAGTGCTGTGACTGCAGAGCACTGAATACAAACCCAAGCAAGTAATAAAGAACTAGTTTTCACAAGCAGGTGTCAGAAAAGCCACAGAAGCAGAGAAGTGGACACTGGACAAAAAAAAACTTTCCAGGGAAGTTGGCAGGCATTTAAGTGATTAGCTGACACTGAGCTGCTGCATTGCCATAGCTAGGTCAGTGTCACTGCTCCAGCACCCATGTGCTACATTACAGTCACAGCAGATATCAACTGCAGTGTAGGAGTAACCACCCAGAAACGAGACCTTTACCACATTACAGAAGGGTAGGTGATGCTGATCCTCCCTTCACGCCTCTGCAAGTGTACACAAGACAAGATGCCTAAACCAGATACTCAGCTATCCCAGGATGAAGAGGAGCAATAGGTTCTTCTTCATAGCAAAGAACTAACATACTCAGTTTTTTAAAAAGAAATATATGAACCACTTAGTAGCAACTTAGTCAAGCACTTTCTGTCTTAAATGACACAAGGACTACTTAAAAGTTATACCAAAAGCTATTTAGAGCTATTTTCCCTCAGGAAGAATATTTGCTTTTGCAATATTATTGACAGTAACAGCTCTACATTAAACATATAAGAAGCTGGGGGTCAAGCATCAGTCCACTAGTTTAAACATTACAGTTTCCAAGGAAATAACTCTCCTTTCCCTGTGAGTATATCCAGATATTAGGACATAAGCACCAATATTTTGTGTTCCCTTCAAATGACAAAATCTTACGCAGACTTGGAAAATTTTGGCAAGAGATAATGCTACATCTTTTATCTTCCTGATGTAAATTTTGGCTTTTTGAGTTTATAAGAACTAAAGGTTGTTATGAGTCACATTAATGTTCTCCAGAATTAACACTGCCCTGTCTAGATTCCACACTTCCTAAAGGAAGTTTTAGGGATGTTTATTATTGGCTATTTGTTCATATACAAGCGTGTCACCATAAAGGAAAATTCTGTGTCCAGATTTATTATCATAAAACAAGAATTACAATTTCCTCAAGAACACCCCCTCAACCTCCCACCTCCCCTCCACAAATAAGAAACAATTTATGTAGTAAGTCAATGGCATCTGAAGGTAGAGATTCAACATCCTCCAAGACTAAGCCCGAAACCCTGCAACCTGAGCCTCCCGAGTTCTGCAGCCAGGTTAGCACAGTTAGCCACACCTTCTATTTAAAAATCAACCTGTCGCAATCTTATGGGATAATCCAAAAATCAGAGCAATACCACACCTAAAGAAAGCAGGTTATTCAGATCATTACAGAGATTCAAAACCATTATTTCATTCTTATTATGTAGAACAAGGATTATTTTCTCACCTTTTCTTCATTTGCAGCCAATAACGATTCCATCCCTATCTTCAACCGTTGAACTTCTTGATCTAGAAATGTTTGTTAAATGTTTTAAGGAAAATACACTTGCTATATGTCGTGTAAATAATATATGTTTTGTGATACTCTCCTTATGTTCTGCTGAGTAACCAAAACCATATCAGTGGCCTGGCAAATGCATTGTTAAACTACCTTTAACTTAGAGCTTGTCAAAAGCTGAGCTATTAAAAGCATTGCACAACACAAACATGATGGCTTTGCTTATAAAAGGCTACATAATACTATTTTATACTCTGAAAGTCAAGTAATAAGAAAAAAAAAAAACCAAACACTGAAGCTTATTTGCAAAAGATGAGAGTTTTTTTTCTGCTATACATTTAAGGAAATAATTTTAAGTATGATTGAACACTGATTCTATTCCATCTCGGAAAAATATTAATCAGCTTATGAGAAGTAGTTCAATGACATTCATGAAACTTGGAAATAAAAAATAAGAAAAACTAGTTTGATATGAGGAAAATCTGTAAAATTTCTTTTTTTCTTAAAAACATTTCAGTATGAGTAGTTGAGTTAAAAACTACACCAAGAGCTAATACAGAACTGCCTCACACACAATTTAGTGTTACAAGATAGAGGTTATTCAGGAATGTTATAGAGAAAAACAATTAAAACACATTCTCTGAACATTTATGAGGCTGTTAATCATGTAATCCTAACTTTGCTGAACCAAATCTTTCTTTTCTTCTCTACACATGATTCCTAGCAAGTCCACCTGTAAGAACCTATACTAAATAAAGTCTAGATGATGGAGACAACCTGGAATAGTTTATCTGCTGTAACTGCCACTCAAGGAATTAATGCTTTGATGTTAAAACAGACCCACTTGTTTCACAAAAGACTATGAAAACCAGATGTGGCAGGCATGAAGTGAGAGGGAAGAAAGAAAATCAATACTGCTAAAGAGTATCTTTTAAAAAGATGTTTTACAACTAAGTGTCGAACATACTATGTCCAAAAAACCGTAATTAGTTCTTTCTTGTAGTTATTCTGAAAAATACACACTCTGTTAATGATTAAGTTTTAAAATATGTAAATGAACTTTGCAAACATTTCTCTTGCAAAAGAGAACGCTTAGTAACACACGACATGCACAGACACAGCCAAATCAAAAACTAAAGCCAGCAGGCAGTGGGCAAGCAATTGAAAGATTTTTTTAAAAGCCATTTAAAAAAAAAAAAAATCACAGTCCTACTGATTTTGCTTTATAAATATTAGACTTCAAAAAGACCTGGTGCCAAGGTATTTTTGAGCACATTAAAGCAAACCTTACTTACAATATTTATACCAACGTCAAGTATGAAAACATTTTTATTCAGTCATGGGGGTTTTTGTTTTGTTTTTTTTTTTAATTTACTGCACTGATTTAAAAAAAGAAAGCCCAAATCCTTCCCCTCCAAGGCAGGAGGCTTTCAATTAAAGCTGTCTTCCCAGATATTATATGGGGTTTACATATGTACAAATAAAAGCTGGTAAAGGTTAAGCTTTGGCTCTGTTAACCTTGACAATGTCCCTTTGAAGTCCAACTATCTGATTTGTGAACCTCTGATTTATTTTTTTTTTTTCTGAAGTGAAATCTTACTAAACAGGGCAAGTAGCTGTCTGCTTGCTGCAAGCAATGAAAGCAATGTCTCACGTATACTACAACTAGACAGCCAAATCTAAACAAACATTGAATTATTCCTGCAGAATGCATCCCAGTTATGATTTGTGTGAAAGGAACAGTGAGATAAAGCCAGAAGTGAATTGCAAGGCTTACGTTTTTCTTTTAGCCTTCTCCTATAAACTTCCTCTACGATGGTAAATGATGAGAGTCAAATAAAGTATGTAGAAAAAGCACATATTAGATAAATTTTGCAATTTAATTAGAATATGCATTCTAGCATACTACAAGTACATTGACATTATTTTCCAACTTTATTTGAGAAGACCACCTAAAAATCTGATAAATCAGTATATTTTTTTTGCAGAAGTCTTATTACTGCTGCATACTGTTTCTATTCAAATACAGTCTAAGTGGTTTCCTTAAATGTAACCTAAAAAAAAAAAAATCTGTACAGGGTTTGATTCTTCTCCCACTGGAATCAAGGGCAGTTTCACCCATCTTCAGCACGAACAGGAACAGACACACTACTAGAAGCTGAAAGTTGCTGAGCTCTTGATTTTTTTGTCATACCACTACCTTTCCCTTGAAATATCATAAATTATTTGTGAATCTTATAGAAAATACAAAATTCTATTAGTAGAAAAGTTCCTCTACAAACACTGCTATTAGACAAACTAATTTTCTAGTTAGACATGCAGTTCTCTACATGCACAAGCTCTGCAGCTGTGTGAAATCAGCACCAAGTATATGTTAAGTCATTTATTTGGAATAAATAACAGTCAAAATACAAAGTCTTTTAGAAAAGGCATATCTGCATTAATATCTGAAAGGAGATTCTTGGTAAGCCCTTAGAAAGTCGGAGCACAGCACCCAAAAAGTCACATCTCAACAAGGGCACTCTTTGGAAGTGTTAGTTAACACCCACAAAAAAAATTAGTGCAGCTGAGCTGATGCACTGCGGTAAACTACGCACAAGTATTCCTGCATGGGTGTCAGTATTAGAGAAGAAAAAGGTCGCTAATATCATATTGCTCACAGCCTAGCAACTGAAAGAAGCTCCAGGGAGTCAATATTTCAGAGAACTACGCCCTGACTGGTTGAGATGAAAGGCTAAGCAAACTGGTTTATTTGCCACTGGCCTGTATCAATGACACAAATCAATGACTACGTTTTAAAATGCTTGAACATTCAAACATTATGCTTAGCTACTACTGTGACTTTTTTTTTCTTAAAAAGTGGAAAAGGTAAAGATTTTTCAAAGAAGTTTAGAAGATATAAACAAAAACATATATTCCCACTGAACTACAATGACACTTTCAAATTATAAATAAAATCCCAGTAGAAAAACTTGTGGTGCTCTTAGGTACTCACTGCAATTTGGGCTGCCTCGAGATTGGGACACAATTTCACACACTAAAGGCCTCTATTCTACCAGAAGACAAAACAAATTTGCACCATTTTTCCTCCCAAAATGACCGCTGTAAGTCCATTCTTGTATCTCCTTGTATTACTTTGAAATACTCAGCCAAGCTGCTATGAAAGTGAAGTTGAAGTAGAGTTTTGGATTTTTAACTTTAATTCCCCTCCTCTTACCTCTTTCTGCCACTTCACTCTGTGATGAGGTCCTAGATAGTTGACTTTGTAAACGTTCTATTTCTGCATCTTTGAGAGCTAATTGCTCTTGAAGCTGGGCTATCTCAGCCTGAAAGAGAGCACAACAAATTCAAAACATCATCATCACCAATTCTCTATGATTCTTTCCCAGAAACTAGAAGACGTCTAAGCATAACACTGTGATTGATGTCCTGTTCCCAAATCAGGACATTTCATAAACATTGTAACAACCTTACGTATTTCATAGTGTTACTATCCTATTCCTTTTACAGAAACTCACGTTTTCCAATGCAATAATCTCTCGGAGAAGAGAAACTTCCAGAAAGGTAAAATTTTCAAGGATTCATGTAGGTAAAGAAACTCTGGAAAACGCTCAATGCTACAATACTGGTCATACAATAACGACTATTATAGGGCAACTCCCGAGTGTTGCATGAAGACTAATAAAACATAACAAAGCATTTTTTAAAAGATACTGTTTTTTTATCCTAGTTACTACTAATTAATATAACTGAGAATCTATTAATGCTCAGCGCTTTTATCAGCGTAACAAAACTTCTTTCTCACATCAGATACTTCAGCAAATAGGCTAAAAGCAAAGCATGGCTTGGAAAACAACGACATATATGCAACAAAATATCAGTGGTTCATTTACATTTACTGCAATTTCTGCTGCCGCTGGATTAGGAAACAGTAACACACATTAAAGACCTGAACAATACACAGGGAAAAGCATTCTGTGATTGTCCAGCTGAAATACGGTCACTCTCAGCTCTCTTTCCTATTTATGAGAAAAACTGTCAACAGCATACTTTACTAAGTCAGTAGCTTCATTAAGATTTTCTTCAGCAGCCTCGAAGTCTTTATATGTTGATATTCTGCATTTCCCCCAGCAAAAACATACCAAACCTCCTTGCAGTTAAAAGAAAAAAAAGGGAAATAAACAACAACAAAAAATCACTGAAGTGACCAGTTTTTCAAAATACTAAAATAAAGCAGGAAAAAATGCAAACCACCAAACAATATTATCCGAACAGCGAAAAACATGGACTAATTTACTCTAATACACAAACTTCACCAGGAAGGAAGCAGCTGGATGGCAGCAAAAGATCACTACTCTGCCTGCAATTCCATATGGAATAGAAGAATCTGCCTTGTTGCATCTCGAAAGGACTCCTACACTTCCCACTGACTAATGTGCTTTTTATATCCAGCCATGGAAATATTCCAATTTCTCATCTAAAAAGCTGGAGCAAGTGAAAGACAAAAGCTGTGGACCTCTCAATACCAGATTTAGATTTGCCTCCCCTGGTCTATTTGATCTCATAGCTCTTTTAAATGCCCCCTTTTCCCTTAATGTCTCATTCCTGCCATCTCTACAATTATTTTCCTTCCTCTTTCTTTCTGTGTACTTTTCTTCCTTTCTAATCCTGTATCTTCTCTTACTCAATGAGTTTTATGATTCTTCTTTCTTATTTTCATTCTGCTCCTTTCCATAATCTTTATCTGACTTGGCAGCTGGCCACACACTGCTTGAGAAAATATTTTCCCAAAGACTCTTCATTTCCACCACATCAGAGAAAACATTTTCATGGATACAAGAGCTATTATCTTCACAGGAAAAAAGACACGACAGCAACATTTCAATATTCATCTAAGAATTCTCAAAAGAAAGAAATGCTAACACAAATAATAGCTTGCTGTCATTCCTGGATCAATCCATCAAGTATTAAAAAGAAAAGTCAGTTTAATAATTGTAAATGTTTTTCCAAGATCCAACCACAACTCAAAAACGTCAGTCATTGGTATGAACAGGGATTATAGTACTACATAAATGAAAGGAGATGTGATTACAGCACAAGAAAGTGTACTTCAGCAGGGAAAAATAATAAGGTGCTTTTTAATCTAGTGGAAAGGGCTAAGAATTCAAACTAGAAATAAAGTGCAACTGTTTAACAAGGAGAACGTTTAACTAGAAAAATTAATTAGTGGGGAAAATGATGAAATATTTCAAATGTCGAGCTTCTTTAGAGTACAATGCAACAGCTTTCCAGGATTTCAGGTCAACAGAAGGGTAAGGCAGCTATGCACTTTGATATACACAAAGTCAAAGCAGATGATCTAATGGTGTATTTTGGGCTTAATCTATTAAAATAAATTCCATAGTAAGTGAACACCCAATCAACTTTGCATGTCTCTTCTCTTCACTGTAGAGAGCATATTCCATAGAGGATTTTCACCATCATACGAATAAAAGACAGAAAACTTCCAAAGAAGTTTTTCTTCAGAACAGGTCTTTTGTAAGTCAAAATGTCTTTTTTTTTTTTTTAAATAAGAATTACAAAAATGGTATAAGACTGGAAACAGCAAGGAGGGGAAATGGCACAAAAAGAAGCTACGAAAACTTTAAACTAAAATACTTATTCCACAACTTGATTTTATAGTAGGCCCTAACACAAGGCAATTGTAAGAAAAATAAATATTGATGAGAATTTCCAGCCAAAATAAATCTTTCATTAGTAAATACCAAGTATTCTGCTTACTTTAGTTGCTTTTAATTGCCACTCATACTGATTTCTTTCATTTTCCAGTTCTTCCACTTTAATTTTCAGGTGTCTAAGTTCCTGCAGCAAACCCTGCAAAGGAAGAACAGCAGGTAAAAGTAAGATTACTCTGGTAGATATTAATTTTCCATAGTCCTGAATTAAAGATCATGCATGAGCCACACAGTAATGAACACTGAACCACTACATCAAAAACTGTGACACAGTCTAAGAAGACAAAAACTATTTTGAATTGAGAGATAAGGAATACTTTCTCAAACTCTCCACCTGAAATTATGAAGCACATTTCTCAGTCATATTAAGGAATGCAGCTGAGCCTGGTGAAGTCATGTCTCTCTCAGTGAAAATGTGCCAAAATATCCGCAACTGCAGTCTCATATTAACTACTGTGCGTTCTGGGAGAGTTGGGGGTTGTTTTGTTGTTTTGTTTTGAGTTTTTTGTTTTTTTCAGCCATCTCAAAGTAAGCAGAAACATGCAGTGCTAAAAGATTACTAACTTCCACTAAAGTGACAATCTTCTCCCCAAACAGGTGCTTAAACTACTTACCAAGAAAAATAACACTCAGACTAACTAGTATCTAGCAAGTTACAGGCATTAATACAATACACATACAGTCAAATTCAACTACAAATAAGCTACTTTGAGCACTGGTGTTTGCCACTTTGCAAACTGAGCTGATGCAACCTAGAGCTGCAGCCAACCAGGGGTCCTAACATTCTCCATCCATTTCTCTGGCAACGTTGTCTCTTAAGTGTCCCTTCCCCCTTTCCTCGAGAGGACTGTATCTTATTGTTCATTCTGAAGGACAACATTATTAAATCCTTGATGGAACTATGATGAGACCAAATGTCTTAAAATGAATGGAGGAAAGGAAAAATTTGAAAGTGTAATCCAATTTTGGAATCCACTGTAGTATATACATTAAGGAACCATACTAATATCTTGGATTAAATTAACATCTATGTTGAATGATGCCCAGATTTGACTCCCAGATTATTTTTCAAATATGCAGCTTGTACTAATAGTTCACTAATCAGTTCTGCACAGAGGCAAGCTCAGAAACAATAGCGCTGTTTTCAAAATAGGCATCACACCCAAAGGTTTATTTTACCAAAATAACTCATAGGAGAAAAATTATTGAAAAGTTACTGAAAAATTACCAAAAACCTCCTTCACAATATAAGCAGATTATTTATAAAATGAGTTATTTTAACCAAAGAGATGTGGCAACTAAAGCAAACTGATTTAAAAGCAAATATTAAAATGGACTTTTTCAGGTATACCAGTATCATCCCATACTCAGTAAATCTAAGCAGTTTATACAAAGTAGCTTTTGTTTTGATATGTGACATAGTTTTGATCAAATACAACTAGGATCTGTAATGTAAATTCAAAAATGCTTTTCTGGTAACTTCTACTGTCAGAGAATAAACAAAAATGTGTTGGATTTGCTATTTTAAAGGTACAAGCAGATTATTTTTAGTATGGTTCTTTTCATTCACTTTAACATTATTAGAAAAAGAAAGGATACATTTCAGACAATCTTACCTGAAACTATATTTTTTCTTGTGTTAAGCTTTTAAGATGTTCAGGAATTAACAATCTGTGTTCAGAGGACTGGTTAGAGTGCACCATCATGCACAGCTAGGGTGACATTATCATGAGGAAAATTAGCAAACTACCAAACCATGCTAGCATGCTGCATATCATATTCTCAACTAAGGAAAAAAACCCCAAACACTCCCTCCAAAAAAAACCCAACAACCACACCAGCACTACAGATCTACAAGTAAAATGAAAATCATAAAAAACTCAAAAGAGATGACTGGCTCTTAAGATATATCTGTGCTTTAGCAGACAGGTATATCAATGGTGATCAAATTTGCCCGAGTAATCAGGGGTGGGGTGTCTGGGGTGGGCTTTTGGGCTTTTTTTTGTTAATTTTTATGACCACCTCACTCTTTGCTAATGAAAGCCACAAAGATTAATGCAAATAATTCACAACATCGCTCTGGTTAGCAGAATTTAGTTTCTACAAAAGAAGAGGCAATACACAGGCTTCTGCTAGGATGGGACTTATCATACATCACACTGAGAGCAATTCTTCTGGCTGAGAGTCTCTACCACTGATCTTGGACTACATTGAGGACCATTAGGTGTCAAGTCTGGATTCCTATCTTGAGACTTTCTTTCTTGGATTCTACTATTAATTTCCAGCTGCAGTCTACACATCTGCTCCTGTAGCTCACTGATCAGGTTCACTACTGACTGAAAACATGGGAAGAAAAGAAAAAAAAAGACAAAGACAGGTGAGAAGGAAAATGATGCAAAGAAGATATTTCTACAGTTCCAGCACAAATACATGAAATACATAAAAGACAAATTAAAACAAGACAGATGATGTGTTTCCCTTCTGATAAAGTATATGTGAATAGATATAAAACTGGAATGTCGCACAAAGCTACAGTTTAAATAGAACAGAATCTTTATTCCAGACTAATTCAGGATTCTGATACTAATGTTAAGATCAGAATTTGGCCTCTCGTTTTTGGAAACTTACCCAGTCACATGAAGTCAGATATCAGGAAAAATTGGAACACATTTTAATATGCTGGCTCAGAGGCACAATTTTGCTGGAACAGACCTGTTTACATTCATTTACACAGCCAAATCATCCACTAGGAAGAAACTGCTAAGTGCTCAGCTGGGGCCATAACCTGCTCTTTCCCAGTTTATGCACAGAATTTACTAATAAAGTAATTCTGTTTCCAGGTCTAGCACGGGTCAGAAAAATAACTCCATTACCTAGCTTGCTAGCTAGGCAGTAGCTTGAAATGGAGAAAGTGTTAAACACAGGAGAAATCAAAGGAAGAAAAAGTAATGACTTTACAGTGCACTGTTTTGCTGGCCAGCTTCTTGGATTTGTGTGTATCAGTGATACACACCAAAAAATCCAGCTAGGGAAAGCAAATCAAAGACAAGTATTAAAATCTCTACAGCATTTCACTTGAATTCCCAAACTCAATTGCAAATAGTTCTCGGTATTTTCTCAGATATTGCAAGTTTGAAGTGCCTTTCTCTTAATTTTCATGTACATTAACAACATATGTTTTGTGATTTCTCAGTCTTCTCAAGTGGAATAAATTTCATGAGATTCATCCATCTCCCAAAGGAGTGAAAAAGATTTTAGTGGACAGATAACAGATGACATGACATCATTGTTTTTATTTTCTTCATTGCAATGCACAACAGTCCTCCTGTAACCTGAACTCTCTGGTGAACCAATAATCTCAAACCTAGGGAACAGCTACTGCAAGGACAGAACACTATTCTGACCAGGGAAGAATTTAAGACAACCAATCTCAAACTGTATCACACTTAGAGATTCCCTTTCAAAAGCAAGTGTATCAGGTGAAAGAGCTTCACATCAGTTAAGTATTTTTCTAGGGCACTGTGCTTAAGATGAAATTCAGAAAAGCAATTAAGTATATTTTACTTTATACATATTATTGTCAATCAGGATCACAACGTCTGATGCTCATCCTCTTTCATCCAACAAACCTTTTTATGCATGTAAATGAGGATTAGTTCTGTATACAATTAAAAAAAAAAATAATTAGAAAGAGTACTGGGCCCCAGCATACTGCTCTGCAATATCCAGTCTTCCATAGGCTGGCATATTTTGCCAGGGGTGCACAGGTAAGAAAAGATAGCCTCCCTCAGTATCAGCTCCCCTAGGTAAAACCATACCCTTCCTACGTTCAGTGGCTACGTTAGCCACTTTGCAGCAGGTCAGTGGGACACTGGTGAGGAGAATGTCCTACTAGTTAACTCATCCTCTTAACAGAGAGCTGCAAAGCAGAACAACCGTAAGACCAGCTGTACGTACAATTTAGGTACTATCCACAACCCCTCCATCTTTCACGCTTTGATTTTGTTTCTTTTTTACCATCATGTCCATCATCAGATATATCACTGAGCAGCACCAACTGGAGATGGGAATCATCACGACTCACATCCAACTCTTGCATTCTTTGAAGCACCGAGGTTTTAGTGTGTGCTCGTCTTTGACGGAGAACACTGTTACCCTATACAGGTTCTGAAGAACCACTGCTCAGACAAGATTTTTGTCCAGATTTTTAAGCACAAACTGACAGTTGCTCTAGTTGTGGTAATGTGGGAGAGTTCAGAAACAATTCTGCTGCCACCATGTAATTCTTTTCTCTTTTGCCTCAGGGTAAAAATGGAATGGGTTTGCATCCACACAGACTTCCCTCGGGGCAAACCTGACAGTACAGAAGTGGCAGAAATCCTTATCCCAGTGAAGGATAAAATGTCTTAATTTATCAGAGGAGAAAGATTAACTCCAGCTGCAATATATGCCTTTACAGTTGCTTCTAGTTTCAAGGTAGAAAAGGTTTCTCAGTTTTTAGATTCTTTCATGGCATGAAAATTTATTAACACACTAACATACTATACCTTGATTCAGGTGAGACAACACACCAAACTCCCAGTGGGAGTCAGTGGCTCACTGGCTCCAATTTCTATGAAATTGCAAATAACTATGCACGAGGTATTTAATTCGGAAGTGTCCACACAAGAACCACAAAACACTTTGCAAAAGCTTATAGCAAACTTGAGATCCTCAGTTCGAAAAAGCAAATACCACAGAACTTATCCCATGCTCCAAAAGAAAAATAAGGAGAGAAGGCAAGCTGTTAAGCAAGTTGAAATAGACTATTACTCCTGCAGACTCCTGATAGTGACAGAAGATCTCTTTTGTCTATGTTTGGCATCTGGGCTGCCATTAATCGCTTCATAATGTTGCTGCCTCATACCCTGCTACATTAAGAAAACATATTCCCCAAATTACCAAGGCTTCTCAGGCAGGAGAAAAAGCTACACAAACTCCCTCATGTGGGATTTCAGAAACCTTCACCGCATCACTGTGGCAGAACTACAACATTATTCTACAAAAAGGGAATTAAAATGACAAAGCCAAGAGTGAGACTGTCCATTTACAAGCAGCTATTCTCCTGACCCCTGTGTTATATATATATATAAATAAATGGCACTTTAAATTTAGCATGTGCTTTTGAAGAGCGAGAGGCAAGTGGCATTCAGTGTGAAATTAATACCTTTGAGAGGAGGCTAGAGATGCTTGATAAACTCCTTGCTGCTAACTAAAACCAGAACTAAACCACAGGTGCACAAGATAAAGTGAAATTAATCTGACACATGAAAACTTGCTCATATTTAGAAGGATATCTTAATTTGCTTTGTTTTGCCCCAACGCAACCAGAGAAATAATTCTATAGATTAATTCTATGTGACTGCAAACAGCTGATGTGAAATAAGCTGACAAAAAATTAGAGTACAGAGCAAATAAGTTTTAGTTGAATTATTCTCCAATGTCACATTTAATTTTAAATATTTTAAAACCCATTATGATATTTAGAAATGGCAGGGTCAGCTATGAAGTACAATTATCAGGCTGTTTTAAATGGTTTAACTACTGGATGCCTCCGTAACACATGCACTAGGATGAAAACTAAGGAAAACTAATTCTGATAGTAGCAAAACTATCAAATCACTGTTCTGCTCACCTCTGTCAGTCCTAAACTCAGTCTTGAAAGAACCAATTGTCCAGCTGCAGTTTGTAAGAAAGGCTCTAGCTCTGTCACCCATAGCTTTCTTCCACTTAGGTAAACATACTAATTGCTATTTCATTTGAGGCATTCTGCAGTGTAAGAGCATGTTGTAGTAGCCACAACATTCAGAGATACAACTGCAGCGAGATTAATTTCATTCAGTCACTGTCAGTTTGGAGAACTGTCTCTCAGACTCTGAAGCAATTAGGTTACCACAACACAACTGTGTACGTATGCGTAAACAAGAGCAAACTAAAGGCAGACCATTTAGATACATAAGAGTGGTTTATTCAGTAGAAAAATATAGTCTGGCAGTAGAGGCAAGGAGTTCAGGAAGACACCCAAAGCTATTATCAAATTTAAGCAGCAGTTGTAGTCTAATAGTATAAAGAAAATATAATAATAAATTTCATTCCGATGTTTGAAACTTTGTTTGTATTGAAAATCAGTAAAATTTACAGTAAAAGGAACTGAAACAGGGTTAAAGCATTAGAGTTCAAATAAACATATAATTTGACTGAAAGCAACTCCTGTTTATCTTGACAAATTGGATTAATGCTTATTCAAGATAATCTGAAATAATTGTAAAAATGGCTCAACAAGCAAACCAAAAATGCTGTTTATTTGCCACAGCTTTACTTTCAACACTCATTTTCCTTGCTTGGTATACACAGGTTTACGACTTTCAACAGGCTAGAAATCTAATCACATCTTGGGGTAGTTAATAATTCAGGGCATACTTAACACAATGATTCTCAA